CGCGGTCTAGGTCGGACGCCAGGAACGACCTCAGATCCTCACCCAATAGAGGGCGCTGCAGGTTCAATAAGAGCATGTCTGCGAGCTCTGAGTGTCCGTCCTGCAGGCGAAAGTCGCTGTCAAGCTCCACAACAGCGTCGCAGACGCCGCGCAGCACCGAGCGCGTTGCCTCGAGCTCGTTTCTGGAAATCTGGACTTCCATCTCGTACTGCACGGCAAGGGAGACCGTATGATAGTACAGCACCATCAAGACTGCAAAGACGCACGACGCTCCGACGACAAGAGCAGCCCTGTTCAGGCGCGATGGCCCTGGCTGGCAATCAGCTCGAAGAGGTTCCTCGGATCCGAACATGATCGTGGAGCATATCGTCACGCAGACGGCGCACAGCCACGCGAGGTTGAGCAGGACGTTCGTGTTGAGCAAGCACCCGATCGTTGAGCAACCGATAGGCAGAAGGATAAAAGAAAAATTGTATGACTCCACTGCCACTGGAGATACATAGAGGACGATGCACGCGTTCCAACAATGGATCCACGCGTCCAGGCTCTTCAGCGTCATGCCTTGGGGGAACGTCCAGACAAAGAGTACTGCAAAACACGGCACCATTATGCAGAGATCCTGGACGATGCTTCTCCTGCGTGGATTGGGATGGGCGGCCCTAGTCAGCACTATCCCAATAACAATTGCAGCGGCCATGATGCAATATGGAATTGCAGCTTTTGCGCGAACCAGCCGCCTCTTCTGTACCTCCGCGGCGACCTGTTTCAGGGCAGGGTCGCCTCTTGCTCCAGCGACAAACAGGATGGCGCCTCTGCATAATCCGAATAGGTGGTCGAAATACGAGGCTATCGGGCGCCGTGTCGAGCTGTGCTTCACCATTCTGGCCACACGGGTGATCGGAGAACGGCCAATTGAGACAACGGCGGCTTCCCCGCCGAAACGAAATCCATTCAAGATCGGTCCCCGAACCCCTTCCAAGATTGATCCTCCCCCGATTTTTGTAAGGCGGACCCAGCCGTGGCGACGAGAAGCCTCCACGGGGGCCAAGAAGGACGAAAAAACGCCAGAGAATGCCGCCGTTGTCTCGAATTGCCATCCTCCGAGATGAGCAACACGCACCCGCCAAGCGTGAGCCAGACGGCGCACATTGAGACCAACGCAGCCCGTCGGGTTCCGTCCTCCGAGTAGTGCTCTCTGGCGGCCTCCATTCTGGCCAGACCGCCTTGGAGAGCTGAAGCACGGCTGGGGGGGCACGCCCTGGGGCAGCGGCGCCCTGGCTGGCGTGGCTTGAGCCACAACCAATGGGCACCTACGGACGCACACAACCCACCCGCAGAACTCCCACCCTGGCAAGCAGAGCCGTTCAGGAAACGCACCCAAGAGGGGAATCGAGCTGGGCAGGGCGGCCCAGCAAGCGCCCAAAGCCGTTTAGGAAACGCCGACGACGGGAGCCGGGGTGGCATTTCCTCTCTTGATATGTTCACTTCTTTTCCGTCGGCGGCGAGGCAGAACTGCTGCACCAGCGGCCGAGCTAAGCGGGACTGCCGAAGAGCGAATTGCCCAGCGTGCAGGAGGGGAGACTGAGGCAGACGCCCCCTCGAGCTGTTTCGCTCGTGCTCCTGGCTTCGGCTCTCGGTGCTCGCTGGGGGGCGAGGCCACGGGGTGGGGCGGCGGCGGCGGCGGCCCGAGGCGGCGCGGCGGCAGAGCGACGGCGACGACCGGAGTCGACGGGGGCGTCCAAGAGGCGAGGTCGCAAAGCACGGCCCCAGGCATGAGCGGCCCGTGGCACCTGGGAGCATCGGGTGGGAGGCGACGGCGGCGACGAAGGCGACGAAGGCAGCGGCGGCAGCGCAGGCGGCGGCGGCGCCACGGCGTCGACCGCAGAGACGGCGCTCGGGAGCCTGGGCGGGTCGGCGACGACGGGCGGCCGCGAAGGAGACACTGACGACGGCGGCGGCGGCGAGGGCGGTGGCGAG